ATATGTTTGTGCAATTCTCAGCACTTGATTGATCTGCATAACTCTGTTCATCACATAATGTTATGTATTGCCTATTTTTCACATGCCATTTCACACCTTATACTAGTGGCATGACTATTACATATGTGCTTGTACACATGAGCATTTAATATTTAATGTATAGTTTACAAGTGTCTGTGTGATTCTCAGTATATAATTGGGTAATCTGTTATCATGACTTGGTATAGTATCTCAAACAATACTTTAAAAGATAGATATCAGGAACAATTGTCTCCTTATGCAAAATCTTGGAATTAATTGGTCTGCATGACTTATTTATTATTCAATATTTTTTAAAAAATATAAATGAGTACATACATTTGTAAAATCAAAGATGCTATAACAAACAATAGTAAAAATAAGTTTTTTAGACACAAAAATTAGTGTTCTAATATAAATTTAAAGGCCTCAATGCTAAATATTTGGTAATTTTTATTTTTTTTTATTAAATTTTTTATTAGGCAGATAAAATAATAATTACTAATCATCAAAGACTCGATCAAAAAAATTTGTTGATCATTTCAAAATACAGATATGTTTTGTAAATTTTTAATATTTTCAAATTCAATAAAACTGGGTGATGCTAGCTAACCAACTATATAGCAGTCAGACATTGACTTCATTAATAAGTTTTTAGACTTAGTCATTGAAATTCAAACCAATATTCAAATTGCAAGTACTATCAACTTCTTTTATAAATAGTTATTTTCTTGTTCAGAAATGGATTGCAATGAAGAATATGGTTTTCTGTAACAGAAATGGTGTCTGTATAGATTTCTCCCATTCCTGGTTTCATGTGACAATGTTGCACAGCTACTTATATTAAAAATGTATATGTATTTATTACATAAAATAGGCTTAGTATGTATTTTACATATCATATTGATATAGCTTGCATGAAAAAACTTAAATTAATTATAATAAATAACTTATTAATTCCTGATTACTTTCTTGGATAATAAAAAATTAATTAGAGATAATTTACTTTATTATAGCATATTTATAAAATATCTCAAATTTAAAAAATTTTATTCTAATAGAACTTAAGAAGCTGATATATATAGCTATTAAAATTGTTAGCTATTCTATAAATTTATATTTTTTTTTTGTCAAAGTGTAGTTTTTTTTTAAAAATTCTAAAAAGTCTAAATGTTTTTAAAATAGCAGTTTTAATGATTCTTTATAAACTTTAAGTTTAGTTATATACAATTTGTTAAAAAAATAAAATTAATATAATAACAACTTACTATTATATAGTTAATAACTGAACAAGTACTAGTGATATTTTTATTTGAATAAAATATATTAAATCAAACACAATTAATAGATAGCAGATACCAAATTGAATAGTTATCGATACCTATTCTATTATTGTCTAATTCTTTAATTTGGATTTTACAATAGGTATATAAATAATTAAGATGCAATTAGATATTAAAGCTAAGATCTGTAAAAATCTACAATTAAAATGAATATTAAAATAAAAGTAAATATTTACTACTCAAAATTCATAAATAGTCAAGGTTTAGATTATGTTTGATATAAATATTCAATATATATTTAAGTTTTACAAAATTCATAATAGTTGTGAATATTTGATAAATATTTGTTTAAAACAAATATAGTCAGAATATTCAATAAACACATAAATTTTTTTACAAGTAGTTATAAATATCTATAAAAATCTAGATATTTATTTAATACTATTTGTGGATGACTAAAATCCTGAATGTTTATTAAATTATTGTAATAAATATTTGAAAGATCTCAGCTCTACTAGACATATATTATCATCTAATTATTTAATATAATTAATAAAAGTAAGTTAATATTATAAACTATCAATAAATAATAGATAATTTAACAAAATAGCCTCAAAAATTACATAATTATTTATTTATAAAAAAGTATAATTGACAATTATTAAATTATGATAAACCAATTATAAGGATCATTAAATATATCATTTTATACCTATCTCTAACTTTTATTATCTTTCAGTTTAAGATTAAATAAATATTTTTGTTTGAATTCTTTAATCTCTTTATCTCAAGCACAAGAATGTTATATATCTTTTCTATTTAAATACATTATCATTCTTAGCTCTTACTGTTTCAAGCATATAAATCTGTAAAATAACTTCAAATTTTAAAATTTCTAATAAAACAAAAAGAAGAGATCCTTACAAACTACAAGTAAAAGCAAAGTTTAATTTACATTTTTTATTAAAAGAGAATGATAAAATTAAACTTAATAATATGCTATCTAATAATGTGTGTGGTGTAATTAAAATAGCATAGGATTTGTCTAATAAGAATCATATTTCAAATTGAGACCAGTTTTTTCAGCAAAATAGTCTTGATATCAACTTTGATAATGTGTGATGCAAATGGGCTACCCGATATTCTTCAAATACACAAATTGTTAAACAATGTATATGTAAAAACTATTAGAAAAAAGCAGCTTTATTAACCTCTCGAGTTTTAGCTGCATGTTACTCTTATATAAGATGTCTTGCATTCATTACAATTTATCTTTATAATAATGAAATTTGGGGTATTGCAGGATACCTAGAATATTCAGAACTGTGTATAGTTACTCAGCTGCAACATGATTCTATATATAAACCTTTATCTTATATAAAAAATAGTGTTGAAAACTTATTAAACCTTAACATAAAAACTTCAAATATTCTTGCTCAAAATGCAAGAACTGTAAAAAATGTATTTGGAAATCATACATTGATCAGAGATTCAAGAATACTACTTATCACAATGAATGTTGCAAATATTAAAAAATGAATGCTACAAAAAAATTAGAATGTTAATATTAAATATAATGCTACAAACAATTTGGATCAGTTATTTGGACCAGATGCAATGCAATCAAAACTTAAAGAAGTGTGTATATACTATCAACCTCATATAAAAGAAACTGACTGCCTGGAGATTATTATTTGTACTTATAAGCAGCAGAAATATGTATAGAAAATATGGACACCAAAATCTAATTCTTGTTGATGAAACTTTTGGAATTAGCAAATATAAATTGTTATTATTTATTATTATAGTTATTGATAAGAACAATAAAGATATTCCTATTACCTTTATTCTTTTTACACCATCTTAACATAATAAATTAATAGCATCTGAATATGATAGCAAAATTTTAGAACAACTTTTTACAATATTCTATGATAAAATAAGTGAAAATTATAATAAAAGACAACTTATAGCAAATTCAAATATAACTTAAATTTAATCATGTTGTTGTAATGACTGATACTGATTACAAAGAACAGATGGCATTGTCTAATGTGTGGCTAGGAATTATTCTGTTACTTTGTTACTTTCATCTTAGCCAATACTAAAAAAATGAGATTAATAAACAGTTAGATAAAGGTGGCAATAAAGACTTAATTTTATAGCAGCAAACTCTAAAAGCATATTTGAAAACTGTTTTGAAAGAAGTATGGTCTATGAATGGTAGTGAAGAGATGGTACAGAATTATATTCTAAAAAAAAGAGAATTGTTAGAGAGAAGTCTTGTTAATATAAATATTTCAAAAAACAAAAAAAAATCTTGGAAGATGGAATAAGATTTTTTGATTATTTAAAAAACAGTGGGCTAAAGATCTTTTTTATAGTTGGTGCTATAATGGATGAATGAGAGCTGTAAATGTTCTTGGAATTCTACTTGAAAAGCTTCTTACTACAAACAATCAGCTTGAAGGAATAAATAAGTATTTAAAGAACAATCAGCTTGAAGGAATAAATAAGTATTTAAAGAACAATCAGTTAAATAGGTTTCAAAGAAACCATCATTTTCTTAGAGCTAACATACTTTGTGTTGCTCTTATATGTGAGGTTATTTCTAATATTTTAATATTACAAACTCTCATTATGAATCTTGAACATGAAAAAGCAGAGTGACAAAAAAAGCTTAATATAATGAACCCATTAGATCATAAAATCCTTATACAAGAATTTTCTCAAATTGTTTATTTATTTCTAGTATTAAACATAATAAATTGGCTAAAAAATTACTTGATACAAATAAGATAATAGGATATGAAATAGAAGATATAACAGGAAAAATATATGTTGAAATTAAGTTTGAATCTATACTAGGACTTATTTACATAGTCTGTATATATGAAGAGCCAACAGATATTTGCTGTCAATATTCTAACTTTCTTCAAACAAGCATTATATGCAAGCACCTCCATGCTATAGCTCTTTATATTGAAAAACTTCACAAACAAGACCAAAATTTATCTGAGATGACTTTCTTGACTTATTAAGAAGCCCAAAATATTCACTATAATCTGTATGCTGATAAATTTGAAATGCTAGAAGTCTCTAAAAATGATGATAAAATTAGTGATAAAAATGATAATAATAAATATAATGAAAATACTGAACATACTAATAATGAAAGTGATAATAATAATAACTCTTCATTTATTTCATCTAAGGAAGTTTTTAATTATATAGAGCAAATTTTCAGAATTAATACTTTAGCAGAAATACTATTATCTAAAACACTTCTATTTACATTAATTCAATCTATATCTAATATAATTGATATTAACAGTTTAAACACCTCCACTATTTACCAACAAGAATTCAAAGAATTTTTAGAATCAACTTTAAGAAGTTTTCAAACATTGCAGAAAAATTTAATATTTCTTTAATACCTTATTAAGTCTAAAAAAAACTTAACACAAAAATATTTTAATAGTGATCCATGTATTTTACTAACTCACCTTTATAATATTACTACTTTGAATTCATTTGAAGCTGCAAAAAATATAGTTGATGTTATATATAAAGAGATAAATCCTTATAAGCATAGAACTTCTAGTGTGAACATTATTTCACTAGATCAAGAAAAAAAGCAATACTAGAAGACATCCTACAAAAGTTAAAGAATTAGAAAAATAAGTTTTCTATAATTATATAGTTAATATGTACATGTATATGTAAAAAGGTTTTCTATAACTTACCAAATATAGATATAATTTATATTTGTTCATTGTATTCCACCTATGTATATATTAAGTATTTGCCTTGTCTTATTTGAGTTAAAAATAAAATCATGCTTTTTAATTGCTATGTATACAATATGATGTTATAAACTTTATAAATTCAATTTTATTTTTATTCTGATATTTTAGGTAAAACAAATTCTTTTTAATAAAAAGTGTAAAAATTTAATAATTCTAAATTTTTTAGCTTTAAAATATAAAAGTATTAAAAATTAAGAGCTATTTTTATGACTGTTAAAAAAACTTTAAACTAAAATTTTTACAACTGTGTTAAAAAAACTTTAAATCAAAGTTATTAAAGTTTAATGCAGTACAATGTATATTATATATACATTTAGTCCTAGTACTAGTTACATATCAGATTGGTATCAGATCAGTATCAGATCAGAACCAGATATGAACAGTACATGTAATAATTCTATTGGTTAATTTTGTCAATCACTATGGAATACCAAAAAAGGAAATTTGAAATATGGTTCAGTAAAATCAGTCTTCTCTAAGCATTGGTTATAATGAATATACCTGCATGTGAGAACTCTATTACTATTCAAATAGGTAGTTAAACCAATATGATTACAATACAAGTAATTACATAAGACTGTAGTAAAAGGTTTTTTAACAATAACAAAACCTTTTAAAAGATAATGACTTGTTATTTCATAACCTAATAAAGACAATTTATATAAGATAATACTATCAACTAATGTTTTAATAATAGAAGGATATATGTAGTGAACTTGATATATTTTTTTAAATATATATATATTTTTTTTTTAAATATTAAGGTAAGTACTTGTGACTTAGAATTTTATTAGTAGTATATTTGGCTAATAGATGTTTTA